GCTAGCTGCTATATGTTTTGCATTGAGGTGATACTTGAGGCTTGATGTGCTGCGGTGATATGCGAATTCCTTTTTGCATAATTTGCAAACAACTGTGCTCTTATCGACTCTTCCCTCCGTCCGTTTTTTAAAACAAAATGTCCCATCCACGGGGCCAACCAAAGCGGTCTCATCAGCTTCTTCGTTCACGTTTGACTATTGTTCACTGTGGTTTGTTGTTGTCTGAAGTAATGAACGTTAGTTGGTGCTCCAGTATAATCGGTACCCCTGAAACTCATCCAGTGAGAAACGTTCCGCGGTGCAAAAATAAGTGCGATTAAAATGCGTTAATTCTTGTGTAATTAATTAATCTTAATTAACGCGTTAAAGTCCCGGCCCTAGTTTTTATATATCTGAGACCCATAATATATGCCTAAAAATAGCATAATAGGAGACCTTTAAGATTGCTACCAGAAGAGCTGAACCTGCCTAGAACCAAATCATAGAAAGACAATGCCACTAACTGGTCAACATAGCGGAGCATATATTGTACATGTAGCAGCTAAAGAGCCTGATATTTCCTGGTGGAGACCAAAAACTGAACTACAAGCGGAGTATTTATTAGAATTACATTCATCAGGCAGAACCAAACAAGACTCTGAATGAATGAAAGTGTTTCTCAGTATCTCCTAGATGAGCAAAGAGACAACTAATTGCTAACTAATGCACTTATCACACCTTAACCCTAACCCTTGTCTTCACTGTCCACAAGAGTCAAAAATAAGTTAATATCCGTTAAACCGGAGTAGAATTGTAGCACTGCTTACACATACTTTGTGTTGCTGGATGCCTTGTTCATGTCATATCTGAAGATGATGAACTCATTGGAAAGTTTTCAGCAGAACTCATTTATTTAGCCATAAAAAGTTTACTGCACATACTTCTTAGTTTTGGACTGTATTGGTTTGAATTGTAGGATTTCAACTCAAGGAAGCAAATAAATAAAAAATTAGGCCAAGGTAGATTAGAATTATTTTCACATTGATAACTTTACTGCTTTGTCAAACTTATGAAATGGTTTCTAGCCCTACTGTATCTTGCCTCCCAGTGCGAGTTGGTGTTCAGCAGAGACCTCCTTATATCCTCCTTCCTTTTCCCCTCTAAAAAGTTCTTCCTTGCCTTAGCTTATTTGCTATTCACTTCACAGCTAACTCCTACAGCTTTGAAACAGTTATCTTCTTCATCACAGACCTCATTGTTATGTGGAGCAGTATTTCTCTTTTCCTTATCCTCTTATTTTTGTCTTCGACTTCAGTTGGAAAGGCTAATATCACATTTAGACCCGAGGAGCAAGTCAGATTAAACTGCACTCTTCGCTCCTACACAGCTACATATGATTTTAAAATACTAAAAATGTTCCTTTTAGACAGTAAATTGTCACTGCTGTACATATTTATACATTTGAAACAGTAGACTGAGCTCCACCTTTTTACTGCAAGTGCATTATTTAAACGGACGTGTTGTACCCTGTCTCCGCTGACAAAACTCATCTCAGGCATTTATAGCTGTAGGTTATCGCCTTCTGTGTTTTTGGCTCCAAAATGAGTATGATTACCTTCTACAAATCTTTAAATGTGTTTATTGCTGGTATATTACTCTGTTTCTGTAATGCAGAAGGCATTTGGCCTTAGGGTTGGTCTGTTTTTCTCAGGCTCTCTCATCAGCTGTGTAAGACATGACCCCTTTCCTCCTTCTAAAGGAGGTTGCAAACAATCTCCTCATCCCCTTCAAAATGCTCAGAATTGAGTATGCTATGTATCTGAGAGTAAACCTAATCTGAACGAGGTCTTCTGGATCCCACTTCGCTGCAAGACACATTACTGGTAATTTCTTTGTGGTGGAATGTTTGATTACCATCTCTCTGTGGGAAAAGGAGCAGTTTAGGGGACGGATCCTCACAGTTGGTTATGGCAGAGGCAATGTTACTACGGTGTCTTAGCAAATGTCTTTATACTTTATACTGATATCAGTCTTTATACTCGTTGTGTTTTGTTTCTTTGCTCCAAGAATTTCATCACAGTGTAAATATATTAATAATCCCTTTCCAAATCACTTAATTTGTCCTTTCTTCTCATTGCCCCTATAGACCCTGATATCTGGAGCTGTGGTGGAGCAGTTGGACTTCCTGCGTGTCAACGAGGCAGAGTAAGACCTTCCTCTAGTCTTTATGTTGTAAAGTCAGTTTATCTGCTAGCAGAATACTTTGAAAAAGCTTCCATTTAAGAAATCGACAAAGGGAACTAGTCATGCATGTTTCCCACCTTGGTTTTTGATGAGTTTAGAATCAATAAATCAGTAAAAAAATAACAGAATGTCAAAGGAATGACGGCAGCATTGTTTTGATTGTTGCTTCAATTGTGAATTTTCAAAATGGAAAAAGTGTATATGAATCTTTCGTTCCGTCTTTATACTAATAGCATCCTTGTGTGTGCATAGGATCCCAGAGTTTAAGAGCTTTGAGGAGCTGGAGCTGCCAAAACACTCCAAAGTGAAGAGACAGATGAGCACCCCCAACGTGTCTGACCTGGAGCAGCAGCCGGAGATCGACGTGGAGGAGTGGCTGCAGAAGCCAACCAATGAGATCATCCAGAAGTTCCATGTGAGTTTATAAGATTTAGTGGGAAGTTTTAATTATATTTATTTAATTGTTATGCTTCCATAATGAAGTTGACAATACATTCACACAAAAGATAAACAAAATAGATGTATAAATCCTTCCTGTATAACAAAATTGTCCATGTGTAAATCTTGAGCGGTGTTCCCTGAGCTTGGCGCTGTTCCTGTAATACATTGCCATAAATACACTTCAGGTATTGTTTGCACGGGCCATCAAGTCTTTGTCACTGCCAAGTCGGAGTGGCAGGTGAAAATAAGTGTCTGAGTACTTGACGTGTATGAGGGGAGACTGTCTGCTGCCATCCCCAGGTAAACAGTGTGAGTTATTCTAGCTGTGATAAGGGCAGCAGCCTGGGGAACTCTCCATTTTAAACCACTTACAGTCAAACATGCAGCAGTCCTGCCAGAAAAACTGAAACATCTAACCCTAGACAGATGATATATATATTCATTAGAAATGATATAATGAAAATATATTCTCTATACCCAGGATTTCTATCAATAAGGGTAAACAAGTCTCAAGTCCTCCTCCAGCTAGTCTGCCTGCCTCCTCATCTCAGAAAAAAGAGAATTCATTTATCCCCTCCCCCCCCCTGCCTCCCTTGTTGACTCATTGACATTGCCCATGCTCACTTGGCCAAATGTCTCCTATTTCTTTATAACAATGGAAAAACATTTTTGCCTCAAGTTTAGGTTTTGTCCATTCAAGTCTTGTTAGAATGAACAGCACTTCAATCTGGCTTTGTACCTAAATATTTTCTCTGTGTTCGAAAAATCCATACCTCCACTTACACCTGCTGCAGTTAATGTTTGTAGGCTCCAAGAGGAATTCAGTATAGTAGTAGTCATTTTAGCAGTAATATCAGATGAAGTAGAAGCAGTTTAAGTAGATTGTCAAAAAATTATTGTTAGGGGTCTCATTTTTGGTGCAGGCAAAATGGTTCCATAGGGCCCGGTAGAAAGTTGCTCAAATTGAGCCCTTGGTCGTGGTTAGACCAACAAAGTCAGAACTTCGGAAGGCATAGGAAGCATGGTATGACCCACGAAAAAGCCTATTGGAGGCAAATCGTAAGCCCAACAGGCCATTTAAAATGTTATGTGTAATGTTTAGACTACTGTGTTTTTGAGGTTCCATCACACAAATAACATTTTTTTTTTGTAATGAACACTCTAAATGTCCCTCTGTTTTTAATTATCTAGGTACAGTATGATAGTGGCAGTATTAAAGTAATAATAAATAATTTACCCCAATCTGCTATGACATGCTAAAATGCTTTATTTTTTAGATTTCAGGCTCAAGGAAGTTTCATTACGGCTTTTTAGTGTTACAGAAAATGTATGTAGCTGAGTGCAAAAAAGGTATTTAAGTGTTTTTGCTTTGGTAGATGTAACGGGTCTCCCCATTTGTGTGTGTAATTTTTCAGGACTGCGACTGCTTGGCCAGTCAGGCTCAGCTTGCAAGCATCATTCTGAGGAGAGAAGGCCCGGCATACCTTGCAAAAGATGGTAAGGATACACACACACACACACACACACACACACACACACACACACACACACACACACACACACACACACACACACACACACACACACACACACACACACACAGGCAATGTGAGATATACTGGCCCAACACTAAAGATCAATTGGGAAGATTTCGCACAAGTATTTATGATTAAAGGCTATACTGTTCCAGATATCTGCTCAAGTGATCCTGTGGTGTGAGGGATTAACACACCTAATCTTTATTTTACTAACTGGATCAGACTTTTTCCAATTTTGATTTTTTACAACTGAAACCCTGTAGTTTGAAAGGAACAGTGATGTAATATTGATCATAAATAAAATAAAAGCGTCACTCCTTGTTAGCTTGCAGCATTAGCTTGAACTAAGCCTGTTTGAAACTAACAAGAAAATATTAATATTTTCCCGCTCATCTGTAGCTAAATGCTGCAAAATGTATAAACCATGTTGAAGTAGTCTTGTTAGCCCTTTTTCTCACTTATTTTGTTCTTCTCTACAAATCATCAGCTCAGATAAGTGCAACCAGCTGCCCACCACAGTCCAACGCCATGTTTGTTGTGTTTCTTAGAGATCCCAAGTCTCTGGAAAAATCATTTAGTACAAATGCAAGAATGGAGGATACATTTGCATATAAGTATATGTTCTTATGAAGGCAAACATTTCTCTGCTTCCAGAGAACCTGACGGATGAACTTGAGAGACTCTACAGAAGAGCTGGCAGCAGAAAGCTTTGGTCTGATATTCTCACACATACATACACAAATGTCCCTCCTGTCTGTCATTTAAATGAATGTTTCATTGCCATTAGTTGATTTATTATGGAGTCCAAATGCATAGAGGATTACCAAAGTGTGCAGATCTAAAAAAAAACATGAATGCTAGGGTTTGCAGTTTATGTTGTTTCAGGTCCCCATAACCCAAATAACTTGTCTCTTTCCCTGTTGTTTTCTCTGTTTGGCGTCCTCACAAAAACCTTGTTTTATGCTGACACTTTAATTTGGCCAAACTGTAGGCTGGTAGTGCGCCATGCTGCTGCCATTACCAAGAAGTTTGCCAGCTCTATAGCTCCTCACATCACCACAATACTGGTGCATGGGAAACAGGTAATGTCCAGGAAGAGATGGACTGAAGACTCGGCATGTTTACTCCCGGTTAGCTGGCTAGCTAGCTGTCTAGCTTGAGATCTGTGTGAGGGTCAGCCGTTCCTACTTTGTGTTTCCTCAGATCCAACAAACAGAGCTTTACAGAGACAGAAATAAGAATATTGTATACAGTAGGTTTCTTTATTTATTTATTTGTTATTGAAATATTTCAAAAAGGCTTTTATTTCTTTATGTTTATGACTTAACTGAAATAAAGACGTAAGCTAAATGTGTTAGCCTAAATGTAGTTGAATGGCTAAATAAAATAATGAAAGCAATTTGTACATTTGTAGAATACGTCCCAAAAATGTATGCAAACCTTCAAATAAAACAGTTAACACTGACTGAACTCAACTTTAATCAGGCAATTGCGTAAAGATAATCCCACATTCTGCAATCAAATGACCAGTTGAAACCCTGGTAACCGTTGGTGTAATGCGGTAGTAGGCTAGTAGGTTAGTCCCTTGCTAAATTGTTAAATGCTAAAGATATTATAGCTAAACCACCAAGTTTAGCACAATCAGGGCTAGCACTCACACGGTCATGAGTTTGGCTAAGCTAGCAGCTTTTCCTCAGATGTGTAGGCCTACAGGAGCTTGTAGTTGGTGTTTGCTTTCTCTCCATTAACCATCACAGAGGCCGGACTGTCGTTTCTGTTCTGTCTTATGGCCAACCCAGTCTCACAGCATTTCGTGTTATAGTCACGAAATGAATCTATTGATTCGTGTTCACCAACACGATTTCCCCATTTTTCTCGTGTAACACAGAACGATTTTAAAAGCAATGTAAATAATAACAAATTAGAAGTAAAAAAAGATATAAAAAAATACAGATTTCAGTATTCTGAGACTCTGAGCCCCATTTATTTTCCTCGCGGACGGCAATATAAGTCTGACATTATACAATTTAAAATAAAAACAATAATCGGGGCTTGATATTGAGTAAGAAAATGTTTTGATGAACCACACAGCTTCCGGTCTTCCAAGACCCAACTGGACGTGGTGCAGGCACGAAACATACTACCAATAGAAATACATTGCTTTTCGTTCTGTGTGACACGAAAAAAAGGGAAAGTCGTGTTGGTGAACACGAATGAATAGATTAAATTAATTTTGTGACTATTACACGAAATGCCGTGAGACTGGGTTGTTATGGCAGCATCACACAATGATTAAGGCTGGCTGTATACTCCAAATGAAATAGAAGTTAGCTTTTGAATATGGCGCTGTAAGGCCATTAGCTTGTCTCCAAAGCCATCTCACAGTTTTGTGGGCGCCTAGATTGAGTTTTCTGTTTCTCTTGGATAACCCCAGATTCAATATTCAGGTTTCTTAAAGCTAGGATATGCTTGGAACCGCGATTCAAAAGCCAGTCATAAAAATACTCAATTTCTGGGTAGTAGAAAACAATATTTAAGTGAGAAATAATGTATGTGTCCACCTTGTGACTCAAATCCATCCAAAATGTAATGGCTTTCAACAGGTTTCATGAAAATCAAGTCAGTAGTTTTTCCGTAATCCTGCTGGGAAACAAAACAGCAATCAAAGCCACAAATCGTTTATTCTTTGCAGAAGGTAGTTAAACATTAATCCACGGTTCTGTTTTAGCAAAGCTGTAAAGATTTCATTTTGTTGTATATTGCTGGCCTTATTTAACTATAATTGACCAAATGGATGGTTTTCAATATTGGACTGTGATTTCTGTTTCCGTGGCATGGTTTTAATTTTTGCTAGTATAAGATTACATTCCTTTTCTTTTCCTGTGACAACTATTTTATTTTATGCAGTTTACTGTAGTAATGAATAGGATTTTAGCTTAGAGAAATTAGATTATTCCATAAAGTGAATACAAAAGCCTTGAGGCTGATATCCAACTTGCTGGAAAAGGCATCAATACTCAGTTCAATTTACTTTCTCATTTACCTAACATGGGCCAGGAAGTGAAGCTTGAAATGGGTTCCCCAACAAAGCATCAGTAGATTGACACCACTCCATGCCTTCTAAACATTAAGGCTTGTTGCTTTTCTATTCATCGTGCTCAAGATGTGCCTCAGGTATTTCTTGGGTTTGAGCACTGAATAAACACACACAGACTCACACACACAGACACACAGACACACACACACACACACACACACACACACACACACACACACACACACACACACACACACACGCACACACGAAACAAGAGTTTTATAAAATAGAATATAATAAGAAGATGTTGTGTTTCGACTCAATATATTCATGACCCCATTCATTAAATTATTTAATTTGTTCACTGCTTCTTTGAGGATGGCTTCAACTCCATGTGTGTGTGTATGGGCTACCATCTGAAGACTGAGTGTTCATGTGCTGCTTTGTCCTTCAGAGGATCCTGAAGTCCAGAGGAGGCAGTTTGAAGGCTGTAGTAGTGACTCTTGCGAATATTGAACTGCAATTAGTGAACATTAAAAAAATGTATAGGAAGCTAGTCATTTATTTGGGCTTTCAATAACTTGAAAAAATGCATTTATTAGTACTAGGACCAACACATTTATCTCTCAGTAAGGTTTCATTAAAAAACGAATTAGCAGGTTATGTTTCCAATTTTATTCAGATGTGTTGATTTTAAATCAGGGGCATTGAGCTGCTACAATGACAAAAGGAAGCAGCCTTTTTATCTTGTTAGTGAAATTTAAAAAATGTTCTCATGACTGATTCAAATGTTTGAATGTATCTTGTTTGGCCACTGCAGTCATTGTACTCACTAGTCACTTTATGAGGTGCACCTACTGTATAGCCAGTACTGGGTTTGACAGAACTGCCTTAATTGTTTGAGGTATAGATAACCAAGGTGCTGGAAAAATTGTTTATAGATTTTAGTCCGCGATGACACAATAGCATCACACAGTTGCTGCAAAGATGTCCATTATCTGATCTCCAGTTTTGAACACATCCCAAACGCGACCTTTGGATTGAGATCTGGTGACATTTAAATGAAAGGATTTCATTGAAATGTTCAAGAAATCAGTTTAAGGTTATTTGAGCTTTGTGCCAATGTGCATCTTTCGAAAAGTAGCCATTTGACTGTGGCATTTAAACAATCCTCAACTCGTACTTTTTTGTTATTTAAATCAAATTACATTCCATCTGAATGTCAAAGCAGACATCGAGACTATTCAGACCCAGCAACCTTTTTTCCAATTATCCGTGTCCATTTTGGAGTGCCCATTCCAATTGTAGCCTCAGTATCCTGTTGTTAGCTCATAGGAGTGGTGTGGTCTTATCCTGCTTTTTCCTAACAATGTGTTGTGTGTTCAGAGACCCTAACCCTAAAATCTGTAGTTACCAGGGTTTATTTAAGTTACTGTCAGCTTTAATACCATTCTGATTATTCTCCTCTGGCCTCTACCATCAACCAGGCTTTTCTTTGGCCAGAACTACCGACTTTCTCCATAAAACCCAGTAGTTGTAATGCGTGAAAATCCCAGTAGATCCTGAGAAATGCCATGTTCGAAGTCACTTAAATCACCTTTTCTCCCCATTCTGAAGCTTATTTTGAAGTTCAGCTGGTTGTCTTGACAATGTCTAGAGTTACTGTTGCTCATGGGGTAAATGGCTCTCTACCGATGGGTGGTTCCAACTCCAGCCCCTGCATGCAATGTGTCCTTGGTCAAGAAAACTACCCTCAAATAGCTCCCGTAGGCATATAATATTAGTACACATAATGCAGTCTACTTGCATTAAGTTGCTGACTCCTGTTTGGCTGATTGGATAATTGGATAATTGCATTAACAAGCAGTTGAAGTGTACCGAATAAAGTGGCCAGTGAGTCGTTTTTTTCATACATACTCCATATTTACAAGACAATTGATCCAACTTAGAAAGTAAAAGTCACATACAGTCTACAAGATAGTCTCAACCGAAGCTGAAATAAAGTAATGCTAATCCTAAACCCATATCTGGACAGCTTTTATATAATTAGTTTGCTAAAGCCCTAGCTGTTCCTTGCTATCTGTCATGATGAAAAGAGTGTTCTTGTTTCTTTTCGCCCACTAGGTCTGTTGTCCGTCTTGCTGCCAGTCTCTTAACTAAGCTAGTGGACAGCCTTGCCCCCAGTATTACTAGTGTTTTAGTGCATGGCAAGCAGGTAAGCCTAAGTAGTTGAATCCCTTTTGTACAAATGATGTTGGGTTCTGATGGGAAAATGGCATGTTGGCACAATGATTTTAATGTTCACTGATTAATTAGAAGAAGAGAAATTGGTAATATCATAAGTTTTTCATGCTGCCGTCCAATGGGAATGACTAAATCTGCTGTAGCTGCATGCTCACATCCCTCATCACAGCTCACCTCCATCTTGTGTGTGTAATTGTAGCAAGGCTGCAGTGTGACCAGCACAGAATTCTAATATGCCCCATGTCCACGTGTCTAGACGCACTCAATGTGCCGACTGATGTATTGTGACCTGGGAATTTGTCCGACGCCACTCCCTCGCGCTCGATGAGAGCCGGTGCATCATTTCTTGTCAAGTGTTACTCAGAGATTAGCCTCCACTCGAGAGTGTCAGTTATCTCGCCTAATTTTTACCCTTCTGTGCAGTTTTAGGCATTTCATTATGCTGAAGTAGCTCAAGGTGTGAATCTGCATATAGATTGCCTACCTGAGGGAATGCTCCTCTCAACATGATTGGAAAAGCTGATTTAAAATTTGAGAAGGCTGCGTTCCTCTCTGTGTCCTTACAATAACAGCTCAGTTGGAGGAAATAAGAGGCACCACCCCATTTAAGCCAATTCTGACTCTAGCTTTGATTATATTTCTCGGCAATGGTACGATTCCACAATGAATGTCCCCATTTTTTCCGAACTTCATTTCCAGCTGCAGGCTGTACTTTGCTCAGTTACAATCAGTTTTGATGTAAAGATGAATGATACATCTTCAAAGTGCCGCATTTCATCAGCAGAAGGCAAGGATAAAAGTGTGTTCTCCCATCAGGAAGATTGGCTACGTGTAATTTTCATGAGATGGCTTTCAGCAGAAGCAAAATACAAAAGGGTAATCTTGAGATCTGTATTTTTTTTCTGACTCACTTTTATGGGACTCTGCGAGAGGAGGCCAATTTCAGAGTGATAGAACAAAGATACTTCTAGGAATTGCACCTTGGAGAAGTGCGCACGTGGCAGACAATGCATGAACATACATGTGCACTGAAACATTCATACAAAGTCACAAAAGCTTAGAGATGTTACACACAAGTATTATTCTGCAACAGAGAACTTTCTAACTGTATGAGGGTTTGGTATATGCTCTTTGCCTCTGTGTGTGTGTGCATGTGATAATGCCTGTGATTACCAGGTGACCCTCGGCCTGTTCGGGCATGAGGAGGAGGTGATCTCCAACCCACTATCGCCGGGGGTGATCCAGGGCATCATCTACAGCAAGTGCTCCCCTCATGGGGGGGAGCGAGAGGCCGTTCTTCAGCAGGAGCTGGTCATCCATATCGGCTGGATCATCTCCAACAACCCAGAGTTGTTCAGCGGCATGCTCAAGATTAGAATCGGGTAATAATAATACACTTTATTTATAAAACACCTTTAATACCATACATGCAGAATAAACTGACTTATTATAATGGAAATGTTTCATAAAGTGAGCATAAAAACAGGGAAAGAATGACACGATTAGTGGAAAAAATTGTGAAAAATAAAACACACTTGATAAACAATACAAAAATAAAGATAAGAAAGTATAATACATAACATAAGATTGAACTGAATAAGAATTTTGAAAAGGAAGATATTTTGTATCCATATTTGAATTACGCATATGGAAATGAGCAATGCGGCTGCATCACAAGGTTTCCATTCTCTTCTTCTTTGTCCTTAGCTTTATTCATCAGTGGTGGATATTGGAATTATTTAAGACAAAAATGTAGAAAGTAGATGGTTGTAATAGTGCTCTGAGATCTCTTTTTAAATGTGGTCATATATTCTTTGCTGTAATTCTCCTAACTTGGTTTTCAGGTAACTCAATAAATCCTGAAGTAATTTGAGACCGTTGCCCTCATTTGAGGCTGCAGCTGTTTTTCCTTTTTTTATTTTATCTGCTCCAAACATCACGATTGCCTGTTTCTAAAAAAATCTATCTTCTATCTATGCTTCAAATTAACCACACTGCAGTACTCCTGGATGTTGACTGAGACTCAATTTAGAGGTGTAAATGGATGAAAGCCCCTGAGTTTTAACACATTTCTCCAGGCATAGTTGGTGCTAAGATACTGTCAGGAAAAATCGAAACTCGTGTTGAGCATATGTTGGAAGTAGTGTTGTTAGATACACTGTAGAATTTAGACAAACCAAATGTAGTTCCTAGAGTAGTTTATAGAGTTAAATGTTACGGTGTTTAAAAGCCTGCTCGTGTTTATGTTTATTTGTGCTGTGGATTTCCAGATGGATTGTTCAGGCTATGAAACATGAGCTGAAGATCGGGGCAGGGGACATGCCGCCCCAGGACATCTACCAGCTCTCCCCAAGTGACATCAAGCAGCTCTTACTGGATGTCTTGCAGCCTCAGCAAACCGGCAGGTAAACATATTTTTAGACGCAGTGCCGTTATCTTAATGCATTTACTTGTTGTATAATCTTTTATTGTTTTGATTATTTTATCTTCTCGAATGTCTACATCCATATCTTATCATCTGCTTCCGCCACAAAACCCAATTTCCCCATGAGAATTATTAAACTTGTTATCTCATCTTATCTTTCAAACATTTACTTATGGAAAATTCTCCCTTGACTAGCGGCTATTAACATTATATTCCGTTAGTCCCTCAGTCAATTCAACAGTTCCACCCTTGTTTTGGCATCAGGTCTTGGCTGAACAGGCGTCAGATTGATGGCTCTCTGAACAGGACCCCTCTGGGTTTCTATGATCGTGTGTGGCAGATCCTCGAGAGGACCCCCAATGGCTTCATGGTGGCAGGGACTTACCTCCCACAGGTACCTGCCTCCTCTGACACTGCAGAATAAATACTCCATCTCTGGAGAATTACTAACTAAATACTGACCAATGAGGCGTAAAGGAGACACTGCATTGTGGGCTGCTATACAATCAGCTACGGTTTGGCATCAGACTTGATTACACAGCTTAGTTGAATATTGGTTTCTAATAGGTCAGTTTGTACATCCAGTGGTCCGCCCTTTTCAAATGCTCTAATCAAGGAATTATGTGCAGTCATATCAATATGCAGAAAGAAGTCCCTTCAAGTAATGATCAGCTGTGGCCAAAATAACACTCATTATTTTTCCTCGATGAGTAAACACCATTAAGTACTTTTTGAATAATCATTTTTTAAGAGGAGAATACTTTGGATTCATAATGGCTTCACTGTCCCTGTTAAGGCAAAGAAACCAGAACAAGAAAACAGCGCAAGTGAAGGAGAGAGGTTAAAAGACGCAGAGAATTGGAAGACGGAAAACAGCAGAAGAAACCAGACAGGAACTCAAGAAGTAAACACCAAAGGGAACACACCATTGGCAGTATAACTATTGGCCGGTAAATGGAAATGACAAATCAATTGAAAGTTACAATGCAGAAAACCTTGAACAGTGCTGCCTTCATTTTAAGGGACATTGCTGTTGTGGCAGCTCAAACCGTTGCTTTTCAGTAGAACAGACTTTCTTCTTTTTGGATTTTGTTTAGCTCCTGTCACAGTCCGGACAAAGTATTTCGATTAGCTCCTGCGCTAAGCAGTAAAAGCACAAATAGGTGCTTATCAAAATCCACACAACAGCGATAATTTTTCCACTAACAGCAACTATTTATATTGGTGGCTAGTCATGTCAAATAGTTAGCTAACATTGCCACAAACCGTAACTAGCTAGCTTTTATCATTTACCTGTATGCTAGCAGTTGTTAAAGGTCACCTATTATGTAAAATCCACTTCTTCATGTTTTTTAGACATAACCATGTGCCCCTCTGTCTAAAGAGATTCTGAAAGTTTCAGGAAAAAAGATTCTCTCTCTTTTTGTCCTGATCCATTTATATAAAAACCTGTCTGAAAATGAGCTGATGACGTGATCACTTTATGACGTCATAACGATTTTTTGGCTTGTGTAACCATTAGCCAATAACCAACCAAGGTAACCCCCCCCCACCTTATCACCTGAATCTCCTCCAAGAGCACCATTGTGTTCTTTCTAACCAAATCTCTCTCAGAGGGGCGTGGGGAGGGGCTCCTTATTTTCCTCTGAAGTAACAGACAGAGAATCAGCACTTTGGAAACAGGGCTGAAACAGAGGGGATTATGGGATGCTGCAATGATCTGTTTGGTGTTTGGAGCCAAACACTTCAGAGACATGTTTTGTATATATCTGAGACCTGTAATATATTGATAAAAAACAATATAATAGGGGACCTTTTTAAATGTGGCATTTTGTCATCTACTGGTATATTTACCTTTCCCTATACATTTTTCTTAAACTAGTATTAATACTAGTAACTAGCATTTTTGTGTTTAACTAATTTCACATTTATCTGAACAGTCCGCCCTTCCAATAAGGACATCTTCATGTGTGTCGGCCTGTCTGAACTACGACTTTGTTCCAAACATTCAATACACTTGGGGCAGACACAATTAATAGGGCTTTCAATTTATTGAGGCCATAACATTTTCATGGTAACTTTTGCAGCTTATGAAGCAGCTAATGATGCGTATACAATCGTGTTCATAAAACCGAGACACAACAGCACGAAGGTATCCCAAACAGGCCCGGGTTTTTTTTATTTTCAGTCACAAATGATCTTGCTTTAATAGACATTTATTGATAAGTCCTAAATACCTTTTTCTACGTATATGGATATGATACAGAAGAAATCGGGGCACAATTGCAGAATTGAACCTTAGCTTAAGACAGATTTGATTAAAAACTGCCGTCTAAAGCAAAGTTTGCACTCATTTTGAAAGGAAGTTCTATCTGCAGATTTATTCCATACCTGATGTGTTATGATCCCCCTAGTGATGGAGTCAGATGTGACACTTTAATCAGGACCAAATAATTAAAAATAATAATTATAATAGCTCTGTGCTAATGTTATACCGGTCACATCCGCACAACGATCATAAATTACATCATCGAGCAGCTGACATATCTCTTCACGCTCACTTGAATCACTTTTATTTTATGTCTGCAGCAACCGACTTTGTCCGACATGACGATGTATGAGATGAACTTCTCCCTTCTGGTGGAAGACACATTGAAGAACATCGTCCTGCCCGAGTACAGACAAATCATTGTAGAGGTAACCACAAAACACCACCAAAGTGCACAGATGGAACCAAATACTTACGTACATAATTACATAGATTTATTCTCAACATGACATTTACTTTGCTCTTAATTTTCTGGCATTGATCACCTATCTCTGTATAAGCACTAGCAGCATAAACTAGTTAATAATCAAGCATCAAGGATATTAGGTGACTCCACGTTCTTTACTGGCTGTCCATATGTTTTAAAGGGGCCCATTATGTTCAATTTCGACATGTTTACATGCTTTAATGTTCAAAAAGCTATTTTTTCATACTGCCTTAGCAGTATTTGTTTTTAATCCTCTGTCTGAAACCAGAGCCCATTGCTCTGATTGGTAAACTGGCCGGCTGTGGTGTGATTGGTTAACCACTGAGAGATATCCCGCCTGTCAGGTAGATTGTGTTGGAACCTTTATATATATAGTCTATGGTTGGAACGCTAGCCAATAGAAGTGCAAGTGTTACATAGCGATGTCACTATGTTACGGAAGTAACATAGGAGTGTGTGGGATAGAAAGTCCCTCTGGGATTTTAGCCTTTGCAAACTATTTACGTGCACAAAAACCTATATAACACACTACTGGAAAGGGAAAACCTCCAAAAATATAATATTTTTAAGATTTCAGTTTAGGACTCCTTGCTTTTTTTTAAAAGTGAAGAAAAGAGAATACTTTCTCCGGTCTATGACAGCCTTTTTTTGTCTCCATGAGCAGTTGCTGATGGTGGTGTCCGTAGTTCTGGAGAGGAATCCGGAGCTGGAGTTTGCTGACAAGTTGGATCTGGACAGTCTGGTGAAGGAAGCCTTTAATGATTACCAGAAGGATTGCAGCCGCTTTGAAGGCATGGAGAAAAAGGTAAAGTGGCTTGCCTCTAGACAGGTGCAGATATTATAAAATGTTCTCATTTGAAAACGACCTGAATGTCAGCCACACAATTATTTTGATCACTTTTCTAAATTTCTGTGCTCCCAAACCCCGTATTCTAGACCTACGCAGATAATTAAACTAAAGGGTCACCTTAACTCAATTGTATTACAAAGCCTAATAGAAACAGAATTCCGTTGTTCTTTATTAATAAGGTTAAAACTGTAATCATTTTAACTAATAGATATCAACTTCCCCGGATGATTACTAACATTACATTGATTCTTTTTTGCATTACATGTTTTCTCAAATCTGATGTTTAAATATGCATATAGCAATTCTTTGTATTCAAAATGTGCTCATTTGTATACATTTCCAGAACAGAAAATTGAAAAAGGCCAGGTTCAAAATATATTTTTCATTTTGTTGACATGTTCGAGTCAAAGGGATTTAAAGAGGGAATTTCAAATCTAACTCCATAAATCAGAAAAATAGTATCAACAGACGGAAAATGTTTTGTGTTAATCAGGTTATAAATAATAATTAAAAAAAAGATAAAACATCAGAATATAGATAGCAATAAACCCAGAAAGCCTTTTGGTCTGAGTGTAAGAAAAAAACTCATTTTAAAAAACAACTATTAAAGATATGTATTATGGCTTATTATGGCATTTCAATGTAACGTTTATGAGCAATTTTTTACCATTTTTGAAACCCTTTTTATTCTGCCTCTGCCAGGATGACATGGAGGCTTTCTACAACACACAACCAATGGGAAAGAGAGGCACCTCCAGCTATCTGACCAAGGCGGTCATGATCTTGCTGCTGCAAGGGGATTTCAAGCCTTGCAAGGACGACCCGTGCACTGTTAGCTAGATTCACAATGCTTTTGAACCCTAAGTCCAGCCCACTGGAGTGTAGTCATCAAATGATCCTGCAAGGGGTACTGAGTATTCATCACATGTATTAAGAAGATAAACTCTAAATTCACCCTGAATTTCCTCAACAGCAATACAATCTGAAATAGCGTAGTTTAGCATACTCTATCTGAGAAGTTAAAATACAACAACTAGTCATGTTTAATATAAAAATATTGATTAATGGGGCTGAAGTTATTTATTAGCATTGGTAGCTAGTAATGTCAAATGCAACATAGCTAGCTGTTTTTGTATCCTTACCTGTATGCTAGCAGTTGTCCTTTATAGAACTCAGAACATTGCTTAACCTTAACACATGTTTTTTTGCGTGCAAATTAGTCTACTGGTATCTTGCCCTTTCCTTATAAATGTCCATTTAGCTTACCATACAAATTGAGCCAGCCAGCCCTGCTCTGTCCAAAGCTAAAGGGGTATGCTAAGTTAAGCTAGCAGGCTGCTGGCTGTAGCTTTAAATGTAGCATACAGACATGAGTGTGGCATCAATCGTTTCATCTAAGTCCCTGTAGTTAAGGGAATCAACATATTTAAAAACATGACAAACTATTTCCTTTGTATCTGTTCTTCTAAATGTTTTCGGGTATTATAATAATGGCACTATGAACAATAAATAAATGAACAATTAGCTCGGATGTAAGCTATTAATCACCAGCAACAACCTATAGCTGTTACATAACAATTTGTCGGTTCAAGGTCACGTTGTATCATGAGGGTTTTCGTTTCCAAAATTGAGACATAGCCTATGCCCCCCAGGAGCCTTTCGAATGTGTCTCCTAGATATACAAATATACGATCCATAAGAATACATGCATTATTCTTTATCTTAAATATATCTGTGGGTTTGAGAACAACTGCAAAGATGTTTGGGTTTTACACTGAAATCCACAGTATATTTAGCTGAGGATAGGTGTTTGTTGTATTAACTTGAGTTTCTAAGTTGAATGCCTTACCGCATGAACAATCTGCTGCATGACAATAGTTACTGTTTGCCATTCCATCGTGATGGTATAACACATTTTGTTGTCTAAATAAGAGTTTTCAAGAGAACTGATTTTCAAAGTAGGGCTCTCTCTGCATGAAAATGACTCATCTGAAGTCCTAGAACTGAGGACCTTTTAGAAAATGCTGTTTTATTGAATGTGGGCAACAACAAAAACTGCTAGCTGTCATCTTTAGAAAAAGTTGATAAAAGATTAACTTATTTTAAAGCGTGCCTCTCTGAATATACTCACTCTGATGTACGCCCAACTGTGTGTGTGTGTGTGTGTGTGTGTGTGTGTGTGTGTGTGTGTGTGTGTGTGTGTGTGTGTGTGTGTGTGTGTGTTGCCCTTGTCATTCAAAATAGGTATTTTTAACTCTCACCTGTAGTTTCAAAGAATAAAGCTATCATGGAAACGATAAAAATTCCTCTCCGTGTCACTTTGTATATGTGAAGCTCGCAATATGCTTCTGGAACATTTCCCATTTTGTTCTGCAGTTATGAAAATATCAAATATTTATATATAATTACTTAAAATGAAGCCAAAATGTTCCTTGGGTGAAATTGCAGCAGAAATTGATTGGACTGTTAGAGCCCAGAGCGGTGCGTTTGGCATCGTATCGGATCCTACCAGTTACACCCACTTGTGGAGCCCGAACCCTTACCAATCTGCATCTCGTGGATGCGAGTGCTGTCTGCAAGACTGACTAACTGACTGGCAGAGAGAGGTGGAGAGGTGGGCGAGAGCCAGAGGAAGAAGATAAATGAGTTCTGCCTCACGCTCAATATATTCAAATCAACTTGCATTCTGTTGAGAGGAGATCTTGCCTGTCTTTTTGAATAGATCTCTTCCTAACCAAGAAAAATCCAAAAGTAAAATATTTTCTGTCAACAGTAAATAAGGCATCTAAAAATTGCTTAACATTTTTTTTATAAATAGTTTATGCTTAATTGTTTTGCAAATGAACTATACATCCTCTATTCTTGTGGCCAAAATGAATATTACAAGACTTGGGAAAGTTATCCTGATGAAAAAAACGTGTTTTTCTCCAAAATATTTCCACACATGCAAATGATCATTCATGAAGTTAAAATGATTATCCTGTCAAGACTTTAATCTCAGAATGTTGACTTTTTTCTCTGGTATCACCACCATATTTGTGTTACTTGCTTCTTAGGCTTTCCGTACATCAAAGAAGGCCTGAAAAAAACATGTTATGAGTCATATTTCGGGAATTGTAGAATTAATTGTTTTTGGGAGCTTGATCTGCACCAAAAGTAAGGTTGCTTATATAAGGTTAGGGTTAATGGAAATCACACCTCGGGGGTACCTTGTTGACGGTGCTCGATGATGGTAGAACAAGTTATTATTTTGAAAGCATAACAATCTATAAATATCTATAATTGTATATAAACAAAATATCAATGTACTTATAAGTACATTGATATTTTGACAAATATCAAGTAGGTCCCTCCATCTGAGTTTTGAACTTATAGTATACTATAAGTTAAAAACTCAGATGGAGGGACCTACATGATATTTGTCTTGGTGCAGTATGGCTCTACTTTTGGCTTTGTATATGGAGTCCATCCCTCACCATTCCACTAGGCAGCAGCAGAGTTCAAGATATGATCTTTTTTTTTTGCTGGATTTTCTATTTAAGAGGTTTAAAAGAAAGAATGTTAAATCATACATAACAATAAATGATGTGGATTGTTATCCATGACCTGTTGTTTCATTGAGTACCATCAAAATTATACAATATATCGTTTCCACATTACACCCCCAAAATTAGCTTTTGCACCTTTCAAATCTGCAATATGTGGTTTATATCTGTTAATGGATGAATAGGTGATTTCTGCTTCACAAAATATCCTTCATACTTTTCAATCCTTTAAGAAATAATACATGTTCTCTGTACTGCCAACCGTAATGAATGAACCGTACATAATTCCACAGCTCAGGTTCCACCTCTGCTTCACATTGCTTTGTTATTGTCTATCCAAAGGGCACACTAGGTGAGTGGCCACAGTGGTTTTGTCTTGTCAGATGGGAGATAAACAACCAGATGGGAGCTGGAAGGAGGCCTGCTGTTTGACTGAATGGAGAAGAAACAAAGAACATTAGAGATCAACAGAAAGCTGCACACAGATCAGTGGCCTTACAGAATGTCAAGATTTTGAAAATTAAATGAGTTATGAGTTATTACTAGATACAATTAGATTAGAGATAATATAATTGGGTGATACACATATACAAAATTGCGTGGAAAAGAGAAGATAAGAAGTCCTTAAAACCCAAGTGTGTTTAGTCAGTGAACCAGTAAAATAAGAGGCAAGGTTTAAGTACTGCAGTGATAGATAAATCAATGGCAAATGTAGGAAAGCATTATTAATATCTTTTTTTTCTCTTCTTTTCCTACACACTAACTCACGTCATATATGCACACATCCCTTGACACTGTTACCATATATTTCTCTGGAAGCATTTTGTCAACATTAAGAGGGAGCATAATCACAGATGAAACACTCATTCCATGTGCTATATCGTTTCTCCCACGGGGCGCGCACAGCCTTCCTTCGTCTGCATCTCTATGACACCTCCTGCTAAAGTACAGTAGGACATCCGCCGCCTCCTTCCTCGCCGTTATCTGACTGTGAGATGTGAGTGACTGCCAGACGGTAGATAAAACACCATTATAATGTGTTTAGTCTGCAAGCGGCCAACCGCTTCGGAATTATGCGGCCGATCTACAGGTGTTTGTCATAAATCGTATGTACATTACATCATTCATTGATGGTAGGTGGGACTTTCTGACAAATCTCATTGTTCTTGTGGCCATGTTAGTTCCATCACTTAAGTCTGGACTGAAATATCTCAAGATACATTGGGTAGGTTGCTATGACATTTTGAACAGAACCTTCTGGTCTTCAAGAAGAGGATTTTTGAGGATGTTGAGGATCCTGACTTTTATTCTGGCACTTAGTTCAATTGTCATGAAATGTGTTCACTCAGGATAAGTCTTAATATCTTTGGTGACCAACTTTTATCTTGCTCTGTCATCAGGTTGAAATACCAAATGATCGTAGACAGCCACAGACCGTATATTAAAAGTTAACGTTGTCACCAAGACATCACCCATTGGTTTGTTGACTAGGGTTTAAAGCATCGAGTTCAGCATTCAAGCCATCTCCATCAAGGTTTATTGTAACCAATATTGGCACTAGAGGTTGGAGTTAAGTACCTTAAAGGTGACCTATCATGCAAAATGCACTTTTGTACGTCTTTTATACATGAATATGTGTCCCCGGTGTTCCAGGGAACTCACCAAGTGTCAGAAAACACAACCCTCTCTATTTTCCTCCATACCCAAATCTTTTAAAAAGGGCTGCAACGGATCTGATACAGACTGATCCAGATTTGAACACTTCTGTGACGTCACAGAAGTGGCGCTACGGCTATTGGGCCAACTCCACCAATCAGGAGGAGACAGACATTGCCGTTCAAAGCGCTGGAGACGCTGTAGTACATATGCCAGGCCTGTAGATGGTGCTGTTCTCACAGAATCAGCCCATGCAAAGACAATGTTAAATTGAGCGAAATGAGGAATGGCTAAAATGCATGATCCATTTGGTATTTTGAAAAATAAAAAGTATAAATATGCCATATATAGGTATGGTCCTACACTATATTATTCCACTATAGCATGATAGGTCCACTTTAAAACAAATAATTTCCCTTCTCCCCCTTTTTTTCTTCCTTCTTAATGTTTCCTCTCATCATAGGGTGAGCTACAATATTCTGTTAGTCCTCAAGCAAACTGTATACATCACGTTTGCTCAAATACATTCTTATGAGACAGTCTTAAGCATTAGATGATTGCTTACTGTTATCTTTTTTCCTCTTGGTACATGTTTTATTTCATAAAGGTTTTATAGGTTTTTGCGC